GAGGAGGAATTACCAATACAAAATGCCTACCCCTTATGTAGATATTGCAAAATAAATGTTTTGCTACCAGAGACTCCAAAAATCAATTGGATATAACATGTCAAATAAACAAAATACGAAGTGCACAATGCCATCTATTTAGGAACTTCAGATTGTCCCAAAGTTACATTCAAATATAGTAACTGGTTTTCAAGACTCATGGATACAAAGAGTTGATAGACACGCATTTGAAAGAAAAGAAGCTCATATATGTTTAGTTTTCAAACAAGAGTGCACACGCTGAAATGTCTCGCCTTCTTTACTAATCATTGATATTATGTTGATAGTCCTAAATATAAAGCTTTATTACAACTGTCACATAAACTTAACATTAACCAAGTAAACTAAACATTGACCAATGAACCATGAAAATGAGGTCAAGGTCAGATGAACCATGCTAGGCAGGCATGTACAGCTAACAATTCTTCCATACAACAAATATAGTTGACCTATTGCTTATAGTTTAAGAAAAACAGACCAAAACACAAAAACTTAACACTGAGCAATGAACCTTGAAAATGAGGTCAAGGTCAAATAAAACCTGCGTGACTGCCAAATAGATCATAAAATATTTCCATACACCAAATATAGTTGAACTATTGCATATAGTATTAGAAAAAAAGACCAAAACTCAAAAAACTTAACTTTGACCACTGAACCATGAAAATGAGGTCATGGTCAGATGACACCTGCCCGCTAGACATGTACACCTTACAATCATCCATACACCAAATATAGTAGACCTATGGCATACAGTATAAGAAAAACAGACCAAAACACAAAAACTTAACTATAACCACTGAACCATGAAAATGAGGTCAAGGTCAGATGACACCTGCCAGTTGGACATGTACACCTTACAGTCCTTCCATACACCGAATATACAAGACCTATTGCTTATAGTATCTGAGATATGGACTTGACCACCAAAACTTAACCTTGTTCACTGATCCATAAAATGAGGTCGAGGTCAAGTGAAAACTGTCTGACGGGCATGAGGACCTTGCAAGGTACGCACATACCAAATATAGTTGAACTATTGCATATAGTATTAGAAAAAAAGACAAAACTCAAAAACCTAACTTTGACCACTGAACCATGAAAATGAGGTCAAGGTCAGATGACACCTGCCCGCTAGACATGTACACCTTACAATCATTCCATACACCAAATAAAGTAGACCTATGGCATACAGTATAAGAAAAACAGACCAAAACACAAAAACTTAACTATAACCACTGAACCATGAAAATGAGGTCAAGGTCAGATGACACCTGCCAGTTGGACATGTACACCTTACAGTCCTTCCATACACCGAATATACAAGACCTATTGCTTATAGTATCTGAGATATGGACTTGACCACCAAAACTTAACCTTGTTCACTGATCCATAAAATGAGGTCGAGGTCAAGTGAAAACTGTCTGACGGGCATGAGGACCTTGCAAGGTACGCACATACCAAATATAGTTGAACTATTGCATATAGTATTAGAAAAAAAGACCAAAACTCAAAAACCTAACTTTGACCACTGAACCATGAAAATGAGGTCAAGGTCAGATGACACCTGCCCGCTAGACATGTACACCTTACAATCATTCCATACACCAAATAAAGTAGACCTATGGCATACAGTATAAGAAAAACAGACCAAAACACAAAAACTTAACTATAACCACTGAACCATGAAAATGAGGTCAAGGTCAGATGACACCTGCCAGTTGGACATGTACACCTTACAGTCCTTCCATACACCGAATATACAAGACCTATTGCTTATAGTATCTGAGATATGGACTTGACCACCAAAACTTAACCTTGTTCACTGATCCATGAAATGAGGTTGAGGTCAAGTGAAAACTGTCTGACGGGCATGAGGACCTTGCAAGGTACGCACATACCAAATATAGTTATCCTATTACTTATAATAAGAGAGAATCTAACATTACAAAAAATCTGAACTTTTTTTTCAAGTAGTCACTGAACCATGAAAATGAGGTCAAGGACATTGGATATGTGACTGACGGAAACTTCGTAACATGAGGCATCCATATACAAAGTATGAAGCATCCAGACCTTCCACCTTCTAAAATATAAAGCTTTTAAGAAGTTAGCTAACGCCGCCGCCGCCGGATCACTATCCCTATGTCGAGCTTTCTGCGACAAAAGTCGCAGGCTCGACAATAAAACCATCTGAATTTCACAATAACAATATCAATCAGCTGATTATAGGCCTGCTATTTTCTTTCCCTGCATCTAGGAAATAAAGCAGCTGTTATTAAACTTATAGAGAACTCGTTTTCATTTCTCTTTAGGATGTACCCAATTATTTGATCAATAGAACTATAACAGAACTAAGAAGTAATGTCTGAATTGCTCATAAGAGTTCTAACTTTCATGAATTACAAAAGCAAGGGATATGATTTAAATCTAAATTTGACAATCAGAAAGCTTTAAGTGAATAAAAATAATTTCTTCCTTTTAGAACTATTAGACTACAAATTGTAAGATAATTACAATGTTTTTCCAATAAAACACTTGTCTACCCATGAAGACAAATGTTTTTCCAAGTTTTATCTGAACCAATCTATTACATGAGGGGAAACAGGTTAATTAGGCTTACCCTAAGTTGTTTTTCATAACTATCTGAGTCACAAATACAATTTGAAATCCTGTTTATTGCTCATATTAAAACTGGGTAATATTACAAAAGCTGTTTCCTATAATTGGTACTTATTTTCCAATTAACTAATTCTTTACCCACTTATCACTAGAATTAATATAATTTGTGATCAGAATGCTAATGTGGTTACAATATAATACCAGTTGTATTGATATTGGAGACAAAAACAAGATTGGTTAAGTCTATTTTAGTAATGCATTTGGAAAGAGGTTTGATTAGAACCAAACTTATGAAGAGTCTAATTGGACTTACATTTTGTTTGGCCTTTTTTGAAGTTTTCCCTTAAAAAAGGACATGGTGTGATTCAGACCTTATTCAACCTAATTGGTTCAGTGATATTTGAACTTTATTTTCACAAACATATCAATTATCTTAATGCAAAAATCACCTCATTTTGTAGTACTCCAATTGTTAGGCTACAAAGGGCACTTAGCAAGCACCCTCCAATACAGAAATCTGTAGTTTTTGTCTATCATATTTTTTTTCTTCTCACTATTTGAGAGAACATGTAGTTTAAACAATAATGTTAATTTGGATGAATGATAGATATTCAGCAAAAAGATCAATCTGTCTTTTGTAGTATGTAGTTTTGTAAAAACAGTGATATTCTAAAATCTCATTTTCTCAGATACTGATCATAATGTTGAACCATTTTGGCAGACGGTTTTATTCTTTCAAAATTTGTCCTTATAAATCAATACGTTAGATTTTCTAATGACCTTGCATGAGAGGACTGAATTGTTGATACATACCCATGGTCATATGTGACCCAGATCAACAAACAGGTCATTCACATCATCTCTATGAACCCATGGTTCAATAGCTTTATTCTTTTATCAAGGCAATCATATATGAGGACGGGATTGTTGACACATATCCATAGTCATATGTGACATAGATCAACAAACAGGTCAATCACATCATCTCTATGAACCCTTGGTTCAATAGCTTTATTCTGTTATCAAAGAAATCATATATGATTCTCCTGTAATATCATATCAACTCTGAAATATTTATTCCATATGCAGGCACTGTTGGAATATGTTGCTACACAGAAATTGAGAGTTCACAATGGGGAAATTGAAATCCTTTCTTTTGTCATACAGTTCAGTTCTCAATCGATCCTCATTGTCAGTTTCTAGATGTTAGTCCAGAAATTAAAAATATTGAAAGGAATCATTAAATTTAGCAATTTTACAAATAATGAAGAGGTGTTACTTCCAAAAGAAAATTGTAAAATATTGTCAAGTCCAACATGACTTGTGTTTTATGGTTCTTAACAGCAATTCAAAAAATTTGAAATGAATTGGTCAGGAACCTCAAATTTAGCTGTTTTTATTCACATTTTCAAAGGGAAACACTCAGAAATGGCAAATATGTGTTGCTTGAAAGATGGACTAGATAACTGTTTACTTTGTAATATCAAAGTCTTATCCCTATTAAATTCTATATTTGCCTGATATTTATATATTCAAAAGTAGTTAATCTATAGCTATGCAATTACGGCTCTTGACATCTTCAGAAATAAAATCTGAGTGATGCTTAAAGTATTACATTAAAAAATTCCCTAACAATTTCTCAAAATTTCAAATTAAATCTACTGTACTGAATGTAAATCTGAACCTCAGAAACAGTAAGTGTAAAATATGTTGAAGTCAAATGATAATTTTGTCAAGGCTAACTAAAGTTTTCAAAAGTGAAACTGTAGGTTAGCAAAAAGATCAGAGTAAGACTTTAATAAGTCAGTCAACCAGAATGATTCTAAGAATAATTAAATGCTAAATCTTGTTCATGCAATCAAATTGTGCCTTTGTCATCCAAGTTATGTCTATTCGTATATAGTTTATTTATTGACAATTTTTTGTGTTCCATAACTCCTGTAAAGTTGTGGAATAAGAATGGAGGTACAATATTGTCAACTCTACATATTGGCAAACAATCCTACCAAGTATAAAAGCTTTCTTTTAAACAGACTCAGATGAGTTGCATTCACAAGGTGTCCTTGTTACAATACTTTAAAGGGTCAAAGTCCAAAAACTCCAGTAAATTGTCAAATCAAACTGAACAACATAGCACGTTAAAGAGAAAATGACGACAAATAATTCTACCAAGAAGCTTTGTGTCAAAGGATCTCTGAATATAGATATGTTTTGGATAGGAAAGGACAGACAGAGACCATAATCCTATCCTCCACCACTCCACACGCAGGGGACAAAAAAGACTTTTTTTAAACAATAAAACAACATCATCAAATAAAAAAGAAATTTAAGCTTTTTACCTGTTTAGTGTCTGCTGGTCTGAAGATCATCTCACCATATTTTCCTATCAAAGATTCTGCACCATAATCACTGCAATAAAGTAAAAGTTTTCGTTAAAATCTATTCTTACTTGCAAAATACAAAAATAAAATTCTCATTTACTTTACTCAAAGTAAAAGAAAAAGAATATTGATATTTGAGCCAGTCACAAAGTTGAGACTTTGTAAACATATATAATACTTATGAACTTTTTCAGAATATATTATGTCCCCCACTGGGGTAGTCACTTTTTATTTTACCTCGACCACCCAAAGAAGTTTATTCAATTTTGAAACAGACACCTACAGAATTTGAATTATGTAAAGACCAACAACTTTTGGCATTTAAAAAAAATATTGAGTACCCACTGCCCATAGATTATTTCATAAAGCCATAAATTTTTCAACCTTTCAAAGATAAAGACATAAAATGCAGAAATGTGTGTGACAGATTATCTATCAACTTGACATTTAAAATTATGCAGTTTTATATCAATAAATCATGTTTAGTCCTCTCAATATTAGTTTTTTTCAAACCAGTTTCTTGCTGTTTAGAACACATATATATATTGCCTATAGGTGAAGCAACCACAGTTTATTATGCTCCAAGGGGAGCATAACTCTTATTAGGGATGATTATAGTCTATATACTATGGCCCTGAAAAACCTTCAACAACATGGCTGAAACATTGTTGTATATCCATATTAATTATGGAAAGATTATTGTGCAATATTCATTAATTAATTTGGTAAACATGGGGATATCCTCTATATATATTACATGCACTGAGTATAAATTTTCATAAACAGAAACTCAAACTGTGTTTTCCTGTTTTTATAAATAAGTCCAAGAATAAAGGACAAAATATAGTTATATTTATGTTAAAGCATATCCTTCAGACATGTGTGTACATCAATGGATTTCAATTTTCAAAGAAATATATTTGCCACTTCAATATGCTGTGATGTTAATTATCCTTAACTAATTTTGGACACATTTATTGCAGTACAAATACTCAATACTTTGCCCTAAAAATAATAAAATGGAAATGAAGTGTGTCCAAAATTTTCATTATTGTCAAAAACTTGTCAGATTGAGTTAAGACATAAGGTATTGTCACCTTTAGCCATGCTTTTTGTTTTGGCACTTTATCTCTCGTTTCTGATGCAACAAAATAAGCATAAATAAAAATATTATTTCTCATAAAATTGACCTAAATCAGAGCACACTTTTTGGAAAATTCTTATGGTTTTAATTCCCATTTTCTTAATTATTCATAACTCAGAAACTGACGTAAAGAGTTGTCTTAATTTTATTTAAACAGATAACATGTTCTGCAATATATATTTACCCGTAAAAAGGGAGTAAACTCTTATTGTTTTCAAGATTTTGTTTCTATTTCAAAAAATTAACTAAGAGCAAAAATGAACAAGGAGCATATGATTCAAGCGTAAAAAGCTGTTGTTCTACATTCTATTTAATTTAAGTTTTTTTCTGACAGCCCTAAGCAGTTAAGGCCCAATTTACTGTAAAAGCTCAGAATTTTTTGCAATGCTTTATTATTATTTATTATTATTGTATTGCATAAATCAGGATTCTCACTGAAAATTTTAATTATATTATTTGTAACAAACATTTCCTGAAACTGTGTTAAATAATATTACATTTCCTTCTGTTGATCAACAATTGCTTAAATATATATACAAGCATTAACTTCTTATTTTCAGCACTTTATCAGGTAATAATAATTTTTTAGTTGTCTTTCAGACACTGTAAGAGATTGCACTTTTATACTTAAAAAGAAAGATAATCCATCTTTTCTTTCATTTGGGAGTTTTTGAAATTTTTATAAATATAATGACTTTTTCAAATTTTTCTATTCCATTAACAACAAGAATGTGTCCATAGTACATGGATGCCCCACTCGCACTCTCATTTTCTATGTTCAGTGGACCGTGAAATTGGGGTCAAAACTCAAATTTGGAATTAAAATTAGAAAGATCATATCATAATGAACATGTGTACTAAGTTTCAAGTTGATTGGACTTCAACTTCATCAAAAACTACCTTGACCAAAAACTTTAACCTGAAGTGGGACAGACGAACGGATGAACGGGGGAACGAACGGATGCACAGACCAAAAAACTTAATGCCCCTAAGTGGGGCATAAAAATATGTGTGCATATGTCTGAAAAACTCTAGATGTGACCTTGAAAAACTGTAATTCAGAAACGAGTTGCATGAAGTAAACCAGTCACTGCAGGTAAATGTAACAACTCTATGCTTGGAAATACATTTTTTCTATTTGGTATGCTATTTCCAAAAAAGTAGTATCTGTGTATACACATATGTCTTTTGAGTTGATTTTACTGATGGCCTTGAAAGGAAATAATTTCTAAGACACCTGATTACCAAAATCTTTCCCTTGGGTGATAAAGATTTTTGCACTATTGTGCTATGAGAGTGTTTATTTCCTATCTCTGCATGTTAATCATAATAACTTGTTACTTACCTTCCCATAATAGAATCGAATGCCAGGATAGCATTATCTCTCTGTAAGCACAATACAATACATGGTCCAGAAGTTATCAAGGGTACCTTTAAATTAAAACAAGATCATAATTTATCTAATTAGTAAATTCAACTAAGATATAATGTCAGAGAGAAATAAAAACTTTTCAATCTGAAAAACACATTGATTTATATGGACAACTCTGTTAAATGTATGTAAGCTGAAGAAAAGGGGCTTTTACTTGACTCTTGGAAGTTGGGATTTTTTTCCACTGAAATTTAAGTATAGTATTATGGAAGATGAATACTTTCAATTAAAATTTAAATATCCGCAGGTAAAGCCATACTTTAAAAAAAAATTGCTGTTCTGAATTCCTTTCTAGACCAAATTTCAAGAAATTTTCCACTTAAGATTTTCATTTAATATTCTTAAACCAGTAATGGAACTGCAAACCAATGACCCATCGCATGCATATATTTTAACCGTCAAAGGGCAATAACTTCAATATTGTTTAGGGTTCTGTTAAATTTTATCATGAACTATATGTCCCTTTGAAATGTAATTTTCATGGAAAACACTTTTGACCTAAGACTGTACAAGAAATGTAGGCATGAGATCAATAACTATGCAATTTTCCAAATAATTTATATTTCTAATGGACATAACAACTGTAGAAATGATTGACTCTGATTATCTATGTGCTCTCAGGCCTTTCAGGTATAAATCGTTGACATAATTTCATAAAAAATCTAACAAGAAATGTAGGAATGTGAGTGCACTCAATGCAATTTCCCATAAAAATTACATTTCAAAGGGACAATTTCTGTAAAACTAGTTGATCGGCACTAATTTTCAAATACGTCCAAGACATAGCTGATGATATAAACTTTTGATATAAATTTCATACAATCTGACCACAAATGTAGGCTGAAAGTACTTACAGTGCAATTTTTCATAGAATTTGCATTTTCAAGAGACATAACTTTTGCCAAAAATAACTGATGAGTGCTGATTTACAAAATACTCCAAGAAAAAACTAATATAAACCATTGATATAACTTTCATAAAAATCCTACAATAACTGTAAGCTGGAGAGTGCTTACAACGCAATTTTGTATATACCGGTAATTTATATTTTCAAGGGTATGACTCCTTTAAAAATAAATTAGACAATGATTTTTGCACTTGGTGGAGACATAGCTGATATAAACCTGGAAAGTATTGAACTGTAAAAGGGCATACAAGACCAAATAGACCTGTTTGTCTCTGTTGAACTCATTCACAACTAGTTTTTACACTTGCTATCTGCTGCCTGACATATGGTATGGACACTTGTCCATCATTGAAGACTATGGATTTCTATTGCTGTTTTCAGTTTACTTATTATCTAATTCACATTTAGCCCACCATTCCTTTTATCATATTTTATTGTCCCTTGGAACATTGAGAATGAAAATACAATATGATCGAAATACAGATCCTGTGTTCAAGCTTTGCAGGATATGTATTTTAATCAGATTGATGAAAATACTACTGTAATTGAAATCTATAGAACTTCTTTCCAAAGAAGACTTATAGATTTCAGTCATAATTCATCAAAGTGATTTACAAATACATGTAAAGTTAGGAATATAAAACATAAACCTGTAAAACTAACAATGCTAGTTATATGGACAGAAATTAACAGTAGATATTTACCTGCTTAAAGCTGCCAGCATCTATAACATGTAAGAAATGTTCTGCTTGTTCCTGAGTAAACCATACCATTCTGCAGCCGTATATTTCAAACCTAAAATAATTTTATTGAATTCATTGATTATATGTCAATATTTCAATTCCTCTAAATGACAGAAAAATACTTTGATTGATATTTGTAATCAACAATTTAAAGAATTTAAAGACAGTAAAGAAGAATATAAAATATGATAAAAAAAAGGCTAACACAAGGTCAATTTTCCCTATGTCAAAGGCAATAAAATGCTCCGTTGGGCGCAGCTTGATATGACCACAGAGGTCGAACCCTGAACAGTTGGGGCAAGTATGGACACAACATTCAAGCTTGATACAGCTCTGAATTTGGATTGTGATTAAATATTTGACACAGAATGAACGTGGTTTAAGAACTTAAAATTTTTTAATTTACCTATTATGGTCCAATATCCAAAATCTAAATACACGGTTAGATTTGGCATATCAAAGAACCCAAAGAATTCAATTTTTGATGAAATCAAACAAAGTTTAATTTTGGACCCTTTTGACCTCAATATGAACCAATTTGATAGCGGGGCCCACAAATAAAATATCTAAATACATGGTTAGATTCAGCATATCAAAGAACCCCACATATTCAATTTTTGTTGAAATCAAACAAAGTTTAATTTTGGACCCCAATTTGGACCAACTTGAAAACTGGGCCCAAAATAAAAAATCTAAACACATGTTTAGATTCAGCATATCAAAGAACCCCAAGAATTCAATTTTTGTTAAAATCAAACTAAGTTTAATTTTGGACCCTTTGGACCTTAATGTAGACCAATTTAAAAAAAGGGACCCAAAATTAAAAATATAAATACACGGTTAGATTCGGCATAACAAATAATTTAACAAATCTAATGCGCCATACTGTGCAATTAAAGATTACTTCTTGGAATTTTCAATATTTGAAATTTGAAAAAAAAAATATTTGAAGAATAATTCTTTTTAATTTCTGAAATGACAAAAAAATTGACCCCCCACAATTTCTTTTTAACCCCCTCCCCCCTTCTTCCCCCAAAAAATTCTTTCCCTCAAGATATGGTCATAATCTCAATTCAAATTTCCAATGGAATTTGCAACCATAATTACCCATTTAAATTTACCATAGTGCTAACTTGATATATTTTATAATAGAATTTAAAATATAGTGTCAAAACTTTCATATGGATTTTTTTGGATTACCTCCCTTACACTGTTTTAAATTGTCTTAATTGTTCATTAACCATTACTTTATACATAATTTAAAAGCAGTGTAAGGGAGGTAATTCAAATGATGTATTTGATTTATCTCCCTTACACTGCTTTAAATTATGTTTTGTACTAAAGTATTTGTCCATTAACCAGGACAACCTTGTTTTTCCCCCTTTTTTGCCCCTAATTCCTAAACGGTTTGAGCCATAAACCCCCAAAGCAAATCCTAATCATCCCTTTGTGATATGGAAACTTGTGGTATAATTTCAGAGAGATCCATACACCGTTCCACAAGTTATTGTCTGGAAACTAGAAAATGCTTATTTTTGGCCCCTAATTCCTTAACTGTTGGTACCATAACCCCCAAAATCAATCCCAACCTTCCTTTTGTGGTATTTAACCTTATGGTAAAATTTCATAGAGATCCATTCGCTTAAACTAAAGTTATAGTGCGAAAACTAATGTGTCTTCAGACGACGACGCCAACGTCATACCAATATACGAGGTCGTATAAAAATTACATTATTAATAAGTAAATCTTTGTTGTATCCTATATCAAAATTATAATACCTTTATCAATATGTCTGTGACAAATCAATCAGATGATTAAACTCAGTAAATCTAGAAAAGAGACAATTTAAATGATACTTACCCATGAGTAACTAATCCATCAATAAGATCTGCATAGCCGTAAGTACTATCTCTTTTGATTGTGATCAGTGGTGGTTTCAATACCAGGCATGTTGTTTCCATCAATATATAATCAGGAGAATCTACAAAAAAAACAAATGCAAGTTTTAGTGACTTTAACAACTCTAGATTTTAAGCCAGAGTATCAGTCTTTACGGGAATATCTTATTATAACTTGTAAGTGTTTTTGCTATTGAATTAACTATTGAACTGTAGTTTGTAGAATCAGAAAAATTTATCAATTGATAAAAATTATCTACTAAATGCCTTCATTTTTTGTATCCCTGGGTTGCTGTCTCATTATCCTACATCTTCTTTAACTCATATACACTAAGAAACCAAGCCTACAGCAAGAAAGCTGTACTACAAAATGCCACTGTGAAAAAATAATCACAGCAACACATGGCTTTAGCTTCTTTTTTTTTACACTGCAATATTATACTGTGGATATTTTCAGAGGTTATGTTCATGATTTAAATGCGTAAACTTTTGAGTAAATTCTTGCATTGAACAATAAGTGTGCCCTTTAATTCACTTCAATATTATTCATTTTTTATTAAAAAAATTTGCGGTGGTGATATTTTTGATCCTTTTATGCGAGCTTAAGTGAAAATGTCCATGTTTACATTACCAATTGAAATCAGATGAAGGTTGATATAAGCGTTAAATTGTAAATAAATAATCATTTTCAGTCAATCTATAGTTATCCCATTGAAAAATTTCTCAAAAGTTATCTTTTTAATAAAAATGTATGCAAATTTAATCAATTGTTTCAAAAGAAAAAAGCAAAGCAACAATTTCTTTGTTAAGAAACCTTTTTCTTCAACAAGTCTATCCGATGAAAAGTGGAAGGGAGGTTATCTCACAATGAAAGATGTTCTAATTTAAAAAAATATTCTAGCCAAACGTTAAAGATTTTTAATTACACAGAGCTCAAGTGGTAAAAATAAGTTATTATATAAATAACACATAGCTTAGAGGGTGATAGAGCAGATTGTTACCCCCGAGAAAACATTGTCAACTGAGGCGAAGCCAAGGTTGACAATGTTTTTTCGAGGGGTACCAATCTGCTCTATCACCCTCTCAGCTATGTGTTATTTAATTTATTATACTGAATGCCCTATCATTATTGACTTTCACTGTTAAATATTAAATTTTAAGTATTTTACATGACGTCACATATATAACAACGTTACAGGTATTAGAAAAATCAACAGAAGTGAAGCAAGATTTTTTATTTTGACAGTCTATGAAAAAGTTCTGAACCAAAACAAGTATTGTCTTTAATTATTTGATGTAAATTTAATTCATTGTCCTTTAAATTATCGATTTTTGATTGGTCTGCACAAGAGAGTGACATTAAAAAAATTGTCTCCCGCTCAGCCATGGGATAGAGTAAATTATCTCCCTCGTATTAGCCAATCAAAATCTGGCATTTTAACGTGAAGTATAATAACAATCATTGTCAATATCACACAGATATTTAACATGTGAATTTAATATATTTTGCAGGTGCTGATTTTCTACCTTCAAATTTTGGGATGCATAAAACAAAAGAAATATACCTGGATGTTCTGAGGGATCATGGACAACAATTTCTCTATTCAGCTGATATTTTATATCTAAAATACTGTCTTCAGATGGGCATAGGATCTGAAATCATATGTATACATATAATATCAAAATATTAATGATATGCAATAATTTCATTGTACAGTTTTTTTTCTTTTTTACTTGTCAAGTCAAAAATTATATATAATGATTCTATTGTGCAAGCTATGCAGTATTCAAATTTCTATTCCAAAAAGAAGTCTAACATTTTTCACATTGCTGGTGTATATGTACAACTATGACAAATAAGGTCAACTTAAATTAATTTGTAGATTTCCATCCACAATTGGGAAGGAAATGGGTGGGAGGATGTTATTTTGTTGATTTTTATTTCCTCTGAAACCATTTTGTAATGTGTTCTTTCTTTGTAAGGGTAATAATTATAGCTTTATATATCTAAAGAATTCTGCAAATATTTTTCAAATTATTATGCAGGATGAATAAATATGCAGCCAAGTCTGGTCAAAATTGGGACATTTTCAGTATGTAGCAAAAATGTGGTAGAATGCACTCTCTTTTAAACTACTTGCATCAATTCTATTTTGCTTTCTGAGCTATGATTTGTAGTACCCATTTAAATGAAGAAGTGCTTCAGGAAAACCATAGGCCCTGAAAGCTAATTTGAAGTGATTAAAATCCACATCAGATCGATAAACCCCAATGAATGATAGTCAAAGAGAAAAAATCAATGCACACCTTGGTATGAAAAAAAAACAAAGTATATTGAGTATAAAGTTGACCTCATAAAAAGATGACCTTTGAATTAATTTTAACATGCACATATCTGTACTTTCCCTATTGTATAAGACAAAGCAAAAAGAAGGTGAAAAGAATGTTTTTGTGGACCTCAACAAAACAACAACATATTTGACCAAATATAGTGAATAATCATTAACAAAACAGGTTTTACCATTGAATCATATGGAATATGACATGCTTCCAGGTTTCGACAGAAGTAGAAGTATAAAAAGAAAACCAAACCTTTTTCTGTAAATAAATAATGACAAACAAGTGAAGTTATTCAGATTGAAATACAGATACTATGTCCACATTTTGCTTAAAATGATCTTATAATGTTCCATTCTACTTTCTGTTCTGTTAAAAAAAGGAAAAGATCTTCTGAACAGAAAGAAAGTAGAGCATTTTCAGATCATTGTAAGCAAAGCATAAACACAGATCTGTATTAAATCAGCTTGGAATGAAATTAAGTTATGATTTTAAAATTACCACTATTTTTATACCTGTTCACTGTCTAAGTATTCTGTAGATTTACAGCAAAGTCCATCTGGGAAAAATGTCTTCTGATCTTCTAAGGCTTTGATATAACTCATGGAACCTTACAAAAAAAATCAACATAATATGAGTTATCTAAAAAGTGAGCCCCACAGTAGTGTGCATTAAAGCGCCCATAGCAAAGATATTGTTACTACCAATAATCACTTGAAATAAACCAAATAATGTAAAGCATTTAAGCACTATGATTTGGGAGCAATAACAGAAAGGTCATTACTGTTGCACTAATAGAAATGTTACATTGTTACAAGAATTGTCAAAAGAGATGTCATATAAATTTAAAACTTTACTTTCAATCACAAATCTGTATCTTCTTAATTTGTTTGCAAAGACAAACCATTGCTAACTGTACTTGCTATATCTGATAAAATGATTACAGTTATGATTTGAGGCCTTGCTGTATCAGGTTCAGGTGAAAGCTTATGTAACTGCAAATTGGTGCCAATACAACCAGCTAGTACCAATGACATAGCAGACACACAAATGGAAACTGATAATAAAAAAAAAAGATGTGGTATGATTGCCAATGAGACAACTCTCCACAAGAGACTAAATGACACAGAAATTAACAGCTATAGGGCCTTCAACTTTGAGCAAAGCCCATACCGCATAGTCAGCTAAAAAGGCCCCGAAATCACAAATGTAAAACAATTCAAACGAGAAAACTAACAGCCTAATTAATGTACAAAAAAATGAACGAAAAACAAATATGTAACACAGCAACAAACGACAACCGCTGAATTACAGGCTCCTGACTTGGGAAAGGCACATACATACAGAATGTGGTGGGGTTAAACATGTTAGCGGGACTATTATCAAACTCTTCCTGTCGACTTAAAACTTCCTAAAGAATATGAAAATGATACTACTGGTCTATAGTAATACTAGATGTGTTTTTATAGAGCAGAAACAGAGTGAGTAAAATTTCACAAAATTCTTATAATTGAATGAACAAATAATCAACAGACATTTGAACTGAGCAAGCATTAACATTTTTATAAATATATATGTTTAATCCTACTACTACATTGGATTAAATCTTTACCATGGAATGCATTTGTTACTGTATCTACACCAAAAGTTCCCCTCCATAAGAACTGGCTTTGTCTTCTAGCGCTGGATGGATCTGTAGGTCCTAGTAAGTCTATTAACTTCTTCACAGCATTCTCTCTTTGTAATACTAAGCATAAACTTGGTCCAGATTTGAAATAGTCTATGGTTTTATCTGCTATCTCTGAATCCTGTGTTAAAAATCAATTTCTCATTTCATTCATATAAATCACAAAAGAGTGAAAAGATGCATCTAATCCCTTAGAAAACACCTACAAATACCAATAAAAAAATAAAAAATAAAAATGAGACAAGAGAAATGTATTGCTAAGATTTTCAGTCGTTTAAAAGATTTTGTCATAAACATATCAATAATTTAATATGTTGGCCAAATTCACATCTGGTGAAAAAATAAACCATTGGCAATATAATTTGGCAACATTATTTTTTGGTTTTCATTACAAAAGTCACCATTTCCATTTAGTTTAATAAATGTTTCTTGAGTGATAATATGTCATGTGATTTAAAAATGACAACAAAAAAAACAAGAATGCACACGCTGAAATGTCTCGCCTTCTTTACTAATCATTGATATTATGTTGATAGTCCTAAATATAAAGCTTTATTACAACTGTCACATAAACTTAACATTAACCAAGAAAACTAAACATTGACCAATTAACCATGAAAATGAGGTCAAGGTCAGATGAACCATGCCAGGCAGACATGTACAGCTAACAATTCTTCCATACAACAAATATAGTCAATTGCTAATAGTTTAAGAAAAAGAGACCAAAACACAAAAACTTAACACTGAGCAATGAACCATGAAAATGGGGTCAAGGTCAAATAAAACCTGCGCGACTGACATATAGATCATAAAATATTTCCATACACCAAATATAGTTGACCTATTGCATAAAGTATTAGAAAAAAAGACCAAAACTCAAAAACTTAACTTTGACCACTGAACCATGAAAATGAGGTCAAGGTCAGATGACACCTGCCAGCTAGACATGCCCACGTTACAATCATTCCATACACCAAATATAGTAGACCTACTGCATACAGTATAAGAAAAACAGACCAAAACACAAAAACTTAACTATAACCACTGAACCATGAAAATGAGGTCAAGGTCAGATGACACCTGCCAGTTGGACATGTACACCATACAGTCCTTCCATACACCGAATATACTAGACCTACTGCTTATAGTATCTGAGATATGGACTTGACCACCAAAACTTAACCTTGTTCACTGATCCATGAAATGAGGTCGAGGTCAAGTGAAAACTGTTTGACGGGAATGAGGACCTTGCAAGGTACGCACATGCCAAATATAGGTATCCTATTACTTATAATAAGAGAGAATTTAACATTACAAAAAATCTTAACTTTTTTTTCAAGTAGTCAGTGAACCATGAAAATGAGGTCAAGGGCATTGGACATGTGACTGACGGAAACTTCGTAACATAAGGCATCTATATACAAAGTATGAAGCATCTAGGTCTTCCACCTTCTAAAATATAAAGCTTTTAAGAAGTTAGCTAACGCTGCCGCCGCCGGATCACTATCCCTATGTCGAGCTTTCTGCGACAAAAGTCGCAGGCTCGACAATAAAAAATCAGTTGATTCTGTGATCAAAACATTTTCATGTATTTAGATGGAAAAAATGTACGCAAATTAGAAATGCACCTTGAATATTTTAGTTTTCAGTAAAGAAGTAACAGAATATAATGTATGATTACCATATTTTCCTCAGTTTTCAGAATATATTGAATATCCTCATCAAGTAGAATCTGGAACCTCATTGCTATAACTCTGAATCCCTCTTGTATAATTTTCTTTATTATTTTGGGGAGATGACGTTTCACTGCTCTGGGTTTAATGATAAGAAGTGTGGTTATTAGCTGTGGTCCTGATGTCATCACATGGAATATAGATTCCTTCAATGCTTCAGATCGGGTTATAATACTGTCATTGGCTGCCCTAAAAAACACATCTCTAGTCAGTTATAACTGCAATTAAACTGTAATTCATTGAAATTCTGATTGACTTTTGTATAAAAGCGAAAACCATACAAACCAATTTTCTTATAAGTGGGCAATTATAGTTTCATTCTTCTTTCAGGGCTCGGTTGCACAAATGTCAATAAACTTTGAAGTTTAAATTTTTTAAAATGTTTCAAATAAATCTGTTTTATTTCTTAATGACTGAATTAAAACTTTTAAAATTTTAAAGGATGTTTGAGTATCTAGTGTTATGGCTGTTTGAACTTGGGAAATTTTTACCCTGTCCACTTTCCACCTGTCATCATAACTCATTGGACCCTTTGGACTTTATCATCATCATATTGACTTTGTCCGATAGATATACATGAAAATTGGTACATTTTTAGATCCTCGGATGTGCATGTGAATACATGTATGATGTTCTGATCAATTGAGATTCAGCTCCTTGACCAGTGTTGATTACAATGGTTTAAACTTACTGTGTATGGACAACTTTACTAAGGGGTAGGTATGGTAATAGTGGTCTAGAATGTGGATCTCCATATAGTTCTTTGTCAGTATAAAATGCTCTTGTGAAGGAATATGCCTCCTCTGCTGTTCTAGAAATCAGATAATCCATGTGCCCTGACTTAGGATCTGGTCGTGGAATAACTTGTTCCATTCTTTTAAATGCATTAATGCCTCTTAATACAAGGACCAGTGCTGGTTCTGTAATGAATAAAGAAAAGCTAACTATAATTTATTATTTTGGTTATAATGCAAAAAATAATGAAAAACCAACCATAATTTATCATTTTTGTTATAATTTTATGTGTTTTTACAAGAATCCATAATAGTTATTTAATTTTTAATAACTTCAATGTATTTGAACATAAAGCTAGCGACAGGAGTGAAAACTAGAGGCTCTCAAGAGCCTGTGTCGCTCATCTGTATTTACTGATGCTTTGGAAATCATGTAAAATAAAGTTAAAATCATAATTAATAGTATTAGATATTAGATATTATAATGATATCTAAGATAATAACAAAATACTGTAAAATTTCTGTAAAATTACTAACTCAGGGGCAGCAACCCAACAAAGGGTTGTCGGATTCGTCTGAAAATTTCAGGGCAGATAAATCTAAATCTGATGAACATTTTTGCCACCTGTCAGATTTGCTCTAAATGCTTTAGTTTCAGAGATATAAACCAAAAACTGCAATTTACCCCTATGTTCTATTTTTAACCGTCGGCCATGATGGTTGGAAGGCGGGGTCATCGGACAAATTTTTTAAAACTAGATACCCTCATAATGATTATGGCCAAGTATGGTGAAATTTGTCTCAGTAGTTACAGAGAAGAAGATATTTGTAAAAGATTACAAAAATTTACAAAAAATTGTTAAAAATTGACTATAAAGGGCAATAACTCCTAAAGGGGTCGACTGACAATTTTGGTCATGACGACTTATTTGTAGATCTTACTTTGCTGAACATTATTGCTGTTTACAGTTTATCTCTATCTATAATAATATTCAAGATAATAACCAAAAACTGCAAAATTTCCTTAAAATTACCAATTCAGGGGCAGCAACCCAACAACAGGTTGTCAGATTTGTCTGAAAATTTCAGGGCAGATAGATCTTGACCTGATAATCAGTTTTACCCTATGTCAGATTTACTCTAAATGCTTTGGTTTCAGAGATATAAGCCAAAATCTACATTTTACCCCTATGTTCTATTTTTAGCCATGGCTGCCATCTTGGTTGGTTGGTGGGGTCATCGGACACATTTTTTAAACTAGATACCCTAATGATGATTGTGGCCAAGTTTGGCTAAATTTGGCCCAGTGGTTTCAGAGGAGAAGATTTTTGTAAAAAGCTAAGGACGACGGATGATGACGGACGACGGACGCCAAGTGATGAGAAAAGCTCACTTGGCCCTTCGGGCCAGGTGAGCTAAAAATGAGATTAACTTTAAATATCATTTTACATTCCATCAACTGATAAAGTGCATTAACAGTCAATTGGCCAATTCTGAAATTCAAATTTTGTTTTCAATAATTATGTAATGCATCCTCCTAAATGATATCTGAACCAATCAGAATGTCCAATAAGTGACATTCCATAATGCAACACCATTTCTAAATTGGTCTATTTGAAAAAAGCCTAATATTTGCCTTCATAAAGAATCAGTAGGATTTTTGAATCCTTGTGGTACTCACATCCCCTATTCATTTGAGTATCGATAATAAGCTAATTAGTTCCAGTCTTGTACCACAGGGGAGATAATACATACCAGTTGTAAGAGTATGGATATTTTCCTTCCAGCCTCTATCTCCTACTTCATAAGGTGTCACATCTTTTGCCTGAGAGATGGATAGAGATGGTACCCATTTGATTCCCAGTAATTCAAATCCTTCTTTAAGTGGCAATACTGTTACTGTTTTACTGTATGGCACCATGTGAAGTAACTTTCCTATAAAATAAGCAAAAACTTTCTGTTTTTTTTTTTATTGCAAAACATGCCATCAGGGTTGCAATAATATAAACATCTTTTCATTAAATTCAGTAGTGTTTTCCTTAACAAAATCTTTAAAATCGCAATAATGAGTTCTCAAAATTTTATCAGTAATCTGTGATTTACAATAATAAATGCACACATTAATTTCTGAATTTACAGTATTCATTTTCTTCCAAAAAAATATCAGTTCACTACTTTAATCAACATAAAACCTATTATACTAATGTAGAACGAATATAACTTCACATTTTTAATGCAATCTTCATGTGATCATCAACCTTAAATGCAAAATAATATTTTCTGGTGTATCATAATAATCAAAGCGCGAAAGCGCTGTAAAGGCAGTTAATTACAGGTTGTGTGTATTTTTAGTCCAGTTATATCATTATCTTGCATAGTACATTGTACTTATCAGAGGTGGCTTTCAGTATTTAAGATTTAGAGTTCTCTAATGATATTGAACAAGTTTTATGAATGTCATATTCTGAGCACTATATGAAGGCGATTGTTCTCATTTGCTTATGAACTAGTGCATTATGTCCAGTTTGTACCTTTTTTATCTATGTTTAAAGTCAAATACTGTTAAGAATAGTTTGGCATTTTCTTTTTAGTAATAAGTAAATGTTATCAACTGTATTTTATTCAACTTTGCAAATGTGGTTTGTTACTGGTAAGTACAATGTATGGGTGATAGTTGTTTCATTGGCAATCATGACACATCTCCTTATTTATATAATGATCTATATTCAACGACCTCAGGTACAAAAAATGTATGTAACTAAACTATGATGGAAAAACTTTGACTTCTTTCTTTTGATTTGGTACCATAAAACTATGTAGAATAAATGTACATTGCAACATGTCAACTCTTTCAATGACAATACTTTTTTTAGAAACTATAACTCCAAGCAAAATTATATTTCCAAGTATAAAGTAATTTATGAATGAAACAAGAGTGCACACGCTGAAATGTCTCGCCTTCTTTACTAATCATTGATATTATGTTGATTGTCCTAAATATAAAGCTTTATTACAACTGTCACATAAACTTAACATTAACCAAGTAAACTAAATATTGACCAATGAACCAAGAAAATGAGGTCAAGGTCAGATGAACCATGCTAGGCAGGCATGTACAGCTAACAATTCTTCCATACAACAAATATAGTTGACTTATTGCTTATAGTTTAAGAAAAACAGACAAAAACAAAAAAAACTTAAAACTGAGCAATGAACCTTGAAAATGAGGTCAAGGTAAAAAAAAAACCTGTGTGACTGACAAATAGATCATAAAATATTTCCATACACCAAATATAGTTGAACTATTGCATATTGTATTAGAAAAAAGACCAAAACTCAAAAACTTAACTTTGACCACTGAACCATGAAAATGAGGTCAAGGTCAGATGACACCTGCCAGCTAGACATGTACACCTTACAATCATTCCATACACCAAATATAGTAGACCTATTGCATACAGTATAAGAAAAACAGACCAAAACACAAAAACTTAACTATAACCACTGAACCATGAAAATGAGGTCAAGGTCAGATAACACCTGCCAGTTGGACAGTCCTTCCATACACCGAATATACTAGACCTAGTGCTTATAGTATCTGAGATATGGACTTGACCACCAAAACTTAAACTTGTTCACTGATCCATGAAATGAGGTCGAGGTCAAGTGAAAACTGTCTGACGGGCATGAGGACCTTGCAAGGTACGCACATACCAAATATAGTTATCCTATTACTTATAGTAAGAGAGAATTTAACATTACAAAAAATGTTAACTTTTTTTTCAAGTAGTCACTGAACCATGAAAATGAGGTCAAGGCCATTGGACATGTGACTGACGGAAACTTCGTAACATGAGGCATCCATATACAAAGTATGAGGCATCCAGACCTTCCACCTTCTAAAATATAAAGCTTTTAAGAAGTTAGCTAACGCCGCCACCAGATCACTATCCCTATGTCGAGCTTTCTACAACAAAAGTCGCAGGCTCAACAAAAAGGAGTTCTTAATTAAGAAATAAACTGATTCGCTGAGCGCAGCTGGATACACCTGCAGAGGTCCAACCCTGAACAGTTGAGGCAAAAATGGACACAATATTCAAGCTTGATACAGGTCTGAATTTGGATTGTAATTAAATATTTGACATATTCTAGTTTCTGAATAAATGTAGTCAAAGAACTTGAAATCGGTTATATGAATTGAATTTATATTCAATTAAAGATTTCTTGCTGTTGTGCAATACACTGTGTTGTTGCGCAATACTTAATAAATCTGTTGCCAGACTATAAACAAATAAAGTTCAATTTCTTCTCAATGTCATATTTGAAATTTATGAAAATCAATAGGGAGATTACATCAATAGCTATAAATAATTCACCAAAGTTTCATGCGAACTGCTTAAAGCATTTTTGAGTTGTTGTCCAAAAACTGGAAAATCCCCCCTTTTTTAATGAATAAAACCCCACAACTCAGAAATGTAAAATGTAAAATTTATAAAATTCTAAAGGGAGCTTACGGATTGATAATTTAGTCTTAGATGCAAGATTTTTTTATCAGTTGTTAGTGGCTTTGAACTAGCTGTCAGTAAATGCGAGTACTCTCAGATCTGTACTTAGTGTCTTTTAGTTGTTTGGATGTACAACTACCCGGCCACGTCCACTTGTATTTGTATTTATCCATCTGATGAGTTAAGCCTCTTTCAACTGATTTTTATAGTTCGTTCTTATATTGTACTGTTACACCACTGTCCCATGTTAGGGGGTGGGTTGGGATCCCGCTAACATGTTTAACCCCGCCACATTCTGTATGTACATGTATGTGCCTGTCCCAAGTCAGGAGCCTGTAACTCAGTGGTTGTCATTTGTTTATGTGTTGCATATTTGTTATTCGTTCATTTTTTGTACATAAATTAGGCTGTTAGTTTTCTTGTTTGAATTGTTTTACATTGTCATTTCGGGGCCTTTTATAGCTCACTGTGCGGTATGTGCTTTGCTCATTGTTGAAGGACGTACTGTGACCTATAGCTGTTAATTTCTGTGTCATTTGGTCTCTTGTGGAGAGTTGTCTCATTGGCAATCATACCACATCTTCTTTTTTATATTTACATCAACAGATATAAACAATTCACCAAAGTCAAACTTAGTTGTAAGATCTCTGAAATTTTTTACCCGGTACAAGTTTTTCTATTTGTTGGAGATTGTACGGTGACAGTAACACCTGTAACTGCTTAACCCATTTCTTATGCACTTTGGTTCGATAAACTCACTGAATATCATACCACATCTCCTTATTTTTTTATGCATTACAATTTACATGTGCATGTTATTGTAACTAATATTTATATATATATATATCAGAACAAACTTCATTGCGTCACTTTTATTTATGCATCCTTTGGCACAATACAAGTTCTAAAATTACACAACATAAAACAAGTAAATGATATTTCAGATGAAAGTTTTGTTTCAGTTCCATTCATAGAATTTATTAGAATTTTGTAAGTTTTGCCAAGTCCAATAATTAGGTCTATGTGCACGTGTTAATTGGAGACTTTTCTATCCTGTATAAGAGTTTTGGAACTAATTCGGTTTCTTTTTTTTGAAAAAAGTGAGCAAACAAATCTTGCACATTTAAACCTTTGTCTGCCATCACACAGTCACCTGGATCACATAATTGAACTACACATGTATTCTACATCTTTCAACTATTTCACAGTCACTGGTACAACCAACATATGCATTAGAGACATACATTTTTGTAGTTGACTAAACCACCAGGTGTCGAACATACAAGTATTTTCAGTGTTTCTGTTTTTATATGATGAAAAGGTTGCCTGAGCTCTAGGAGCTTTATGTTTTATCACGGGATATTCTGTGCTGTCAATAATAATCCAAGTTGTAGGAAACTTTAATTTGAAGTTGGATGGCGAAAAATACCTGACTAAACCACTAAATGGCCAAGTGTTAGCCTCACGCCAATGTTTAGACATAAAAACAATCCATGTTTACACAATATTCTTAACACTAGTTTCAATCTAGAATCTAGACAGTTCAAAGTTGGTTGTATAATGCCTCAATTTCATCAAAGTCATAAAAAAAATGATTTTCAAATGACACCTATCAATTTGAAAATATATGTATCTCAAACAATGTGCTGCTGGACCAAGTGTGGTCAAAACAAATAAAAATTTAGTATACAACTCTAAACTGGTATAAAAATGCATGGCTGTGTCACGTGTCTTCATTTTAAAATTCTCTGCTGAAAATATAGGCATTGATCGTGTTTGCGTAATTCCATCTGTGATGCTCAACATTAGCTCGGCAGTTGGTGGTGGACAGTCATAAATCCTGTCTGCAGTATGAATGACTTCTTCAGGAAAACCAACTTTACAATCAAAACTTTCCTCTAGATTTCTACTTCAATATTCATCAAGTTTAGTTCTTTTGTTTTCACAGGAAACTGCCCTGATTTTTCTTTTTGCGGACGATTCAGTCTCTTGCTTGATCCAGGAAAATAGGCTGGGAATGGCAGTAGACTTAAGTCTCTGTATGGAGGGTTTGCGCTCTGAAAAAGGTTATAAAACATTAGTTTTTTGATAATTAAAAGAACTTCCATTAGCAATGCATACTTTGTACTACCTGGCAAAATATTAACTAGATTTATTCATTACAATCTGGATAAAACTATGTTAGCCTGATTCAATGTACATCAAAATGTTTGTTATGTAAATCCAAAGGACAATGATGAGAGACGTATGCAACAAACATACATTGTTTGTACCTAAATAACTATAATATAGATGAGAGCATGTCATTGTTTTGTTCCTGTTAACATTGTCATTGATATTTTTCAAGAAAGTCTATGAGGCATAGCTTATGCATTCCTGTCATTACTACATTAGCATAATTACTGCTAAAATAATTCTCAGTATGATATACCTCTTGTAAGAAATCATTATAATTGTAGCAAGCACCAAAAAATCTCAGATCACATTGAATCGTAATCCAAAAAATTATGACGTCTTGAATTAACCACCCCCTTTTATTCTAAAACGATAATTGCGGTTGTAAACAGACTTTGGTTTATATATTATTCGCATGGCGATTACATATATAACTATATATTTTAAATAGAAAATAGAGTTTTACCATGAATAGTTTCCTGCACGTAGTCTTTTTCAGTAAAATGTGCATGGCAAACAACAGCTGATTGAGATGGACTCCACGATTTCACCGTGTTCTCGTCCAATCTGCGTATGGGCCATGGCGTTGATCCAACTTTTCCTTCTTTTTAAGTCATTTGGAAATGCATGTCCTCCTCTTAAATGACATCCAGGTACACAACAACAAGTACTTGGCATCGTTAATTAAAAATGCAACTGTACTAGTTGCACAGTGCAGAAACCGGAAATTGAATAACAGGATCGGCTACCACGGCGCCACCTATTCAGGAACGATAATTTGCTACTTTATATAACTGCGAAATAACAATAACGTTAGACGGGTTCGCGTGCATAAACAGAAATGCGCTTTAAATTGTATAATATAATTCATGTTCAGACGACCTTTAATTATTATATCAACGACTGAAATGATTTATAAACATCTAGATTTCAGATAACACTCGAAATTAACCCGACCTCTTTACACACGGAATTCAAATAATTCTAGTTGGTCAATCGGTTGACTGCTTATAATGTAAAATACAAATATATCAAAAGTTTTTAAAACTAACAAAACACAATGATCGTTTCTCTATTCCCCAATGTAAATGAAATGAAACAAAAAACATTTTATATCACAATAAGAAGAGGAGAGAATCAACATTTTCCGGATCTACTTGGAGCCTAATGACCCCCCACGTAGATAAGTTGGATATCGCGTAAAGAAAGATTAACACGGCAACTAGAAAGGCATTAAAGCACTGCCTTTAAAAACTTACCAATAAACAAACCACATGACTTCAGTATCTGGTTACCAAGCAACAAAAGGACAACAATTTGTTCTACTTCTGGATTGGTGTATAGTTTAGGGAGGATACAACTGGGGTTCACTTGTACATCAAAATCAAAGCACTGAAATAACAATGTTTTACAGATAATTGTACCTATAATCAAGTAAATTTGTAGTTTTGCTTTTTATAGATAGCTTTCATTTCATCCTGCTTTTTGTGCTTTCTCTTCTACAACTTAACCTTCCTGACAATTTTGTGCTGTTGGCATACTAGTATTTCTCTCTCTTTATTTTCTTCTTCTTCTTTTTCCAAAAAAAACTTTGAGAACTTTTTCAAAATTTTGGAAAACCAATAAGCACACATTTCTCTTTAGAAAAACAGAATCTTTCAGTCAATTTCATTACCTTTACATTGTACAACAAAAATCAAACATATTGGATTTGACTTAAAACATAAAATTTGCCTTAAATAACAAATTTGTTGTAAAATTGGTAAAACTTGTAATTCATATTATTCACTTTTGTTTGTCATATCTTATTTTTTGTATGTATATGCTTGGTTGATATTAGTTTTCCTTTTCTTTTAAAAGGTCTTTTTGTAATCTAAATCCAGTATGTGTCTATCCATCATTAAATCTACCTTAGAGAAATCACCACCCAGGTGAGACAGAAGTGAATCAGAATATCTTGCTGCATGGAACATATGTTTGGAAGATAAATATAAACTGGCTTGTTGTTGTATTGTACCTGCAAAAAAATGGTTCATACATATATGTTATGTATGTGCAAAATGAGTAATTCACTTTTAAACAGTAAATTATAGAACAAAAGAATCTGAAGTGTTCTTTGTATTCTTTATATCAAAAAACAATTATAGAATAAAATACCAGTGCTAGAGGTTGTCCAGAACTGGTAGAGAAGTGTGAGATTTGTCTCTATTTAGGCCTCAATGTGACTTTGAAATGAAAATTAGCAATAAATGTCCTTTGCTTTGGATTTTGTGTCTTGAGTTAATGCATCACATCCTTTCTTTTCCATTATTTAATAATAGAGGTGCTTTAGTCTAAAAATAAAAGACCAATATGTGTGGCACATAGCCACATACTGTTTGTGAGTTTTTGGACCAAAATAGTTATTTCAATATCCATGAAACAATTGCCACGGGACATTTAGCAAACAATGTAGCAACCAATCTTTAAAAATGCTAGAAGTTCTTTGACGATTATCAGAAATACTCACACAGGCGATCTTACAGAACAATAAAGAGTAAAATAACAAAAATACCGAACTCCAAGGAAAATTCAAAACAGAAAGTCCCTTATCAAAAAAAAATACAGGAAAAGAAAATATTTTTGAAAATCAATGTTGTACTCTGTTTATTATTTTTTTCTTTAATATTTTCAATGGAAACAAAATATATGTTTTCACTTCCTGTCTAAAACATCTATTCTTATAAACTTAGAATCAAATAATTTATTTAAAAAAAAAAAACTCATGTCCACCAACAAAAGACGAATGGTCGGTGCTTTAAAAAAAAATGAAGATAAAAAAATTTACTAACACCATATAAGGTGTAATACCACCAAATCATAGTACGTCACATCCGGTTGCATACGAAAATAGGTCGAAAAAAAATATTCCCTTGAATTTGACAGTTGTAGGTAATTGATCCTACATTTCATTGCAGTAAAACATTTCTGGGTCATAAACATATATCTTGGGTATTTCAAAGCACCATTATTTTTTTATTTGGGGTTTCTATAGAATATTTTGGAAACTTGAGGTTACATGGTTACTAAAGCTTGTATACAGGTTAAAAAAGGGGGAAAATTTGATTGGTTAACTTCCAGTGATGGTTATTTTCTTATATGCAATGAAATGTTATGTGAAATTTTTTCTATAGTACTGGACAGGATCAAACTTTACTCATGCCAAGTATTTCTTTATTTGAAACAAAGATAAATTCTGCACAATTTTTTGAAAAGTGCAAATTTAACAAAGACTAATAGGGGAAAATCAATGGTGGTATTACACCTAATATGGGAAGCTGTACATGCACCTTTGACCTTGTGAGTACTCTCATGTGTTAAAATTTCTTGCTATTTAAGTGAAATATTACTAATAATGAAATATTCTGAGTGGATTGAGTCTTCAAAACACATTTTATGAGAAAATTTCCTTGAAATAGGACTTTACCATGAATATTAGTTGACAGAATAAGCCATACTTAGAGTTTTGGGGAGCTTTTCTCCTTTTTTCTTATATTCTGCTATACTAGAAAATTTTTCCTAAGAAATACTTTAATAAATATATAGTTTTAAGTAAATGAAATTATTTTTAAAGCAGTAACAACAAATTATTCACCAAAAGAGAAGCTTTTTATGTCCCTCTCTGGAACGCGGCGTAAATTTAAGTTTTACGTAAGGACTTATTGAAACCTCCTTGGAGACAGTAAACTTTTATACGGATAGTTCATTCAGCTTGAATACTTCAATTAATCATTTATTATAACATTTCTATCATAAATGAGTGAAAGTTACCCCAAAATTTTTATTTATTGGCCTATAAAGTAGAAATTTTGAGGAAATGAGAGGTATAAATGGACCAAAAGAGACCTTATAAGGAAGACAAAGAGGTCCATTGGTAGTATTTATCATCCTAAAGTCATCTTTTGTATCATATTCAACTGTTTGTAGGCAGATGAGATAAATATTTGATCATTTATTGGTCCACACTATATTCTATCATGATGCGGCTTGGTTTGGATTTTTCGAAGAAATTTAGCTCGAATCGCTGTAGATGTCGTCTTACATTATACTAGATTTTTCTCAAACTATTGAACTGATTATGACAAAACTTGACAGGAATGCTTGAAATAACCAGTATAACAAAGGAAAAAAGTCACATTCAGTTTATTTAACAAAAAAGTCTTCTTTAGGTGTAATACCACCAAATCATAGTACGTCACATCCGGTTGCATACGAAAATAGGTCGAAAAAAAATATTCCCTTGAATTTGACAGTTGTAGGTAATTGATCCTACATTTCATTGCAGTAAAACATTTCTGGGTCATAAACATATATCTTGGGTATTTCAAAGCACCATTATTTTTTTATTTGGGGTTTCTATAGAATATTTTGGAAACTTGAGGTTACATGGTTACTAAAGCTTGTATACAGGTTAAAAAAGGGGGAAAATTTGATTGGTTAACTTCCAGTGATGGTTATTTTCTTATATGCAATGAAATGTTATGTGAAATTTTTTCTATAGTACTGGACAGGATCAAACTTTACTCATGCCAAGTATTTCTTTATTTGAAACAAAGATAAATTCTGCACAATTTTTTGAAAAGTGCAAATTTAACAAAGACTAATAGGGGAAAATCAATGGTGGTATTACACCTATAAGACTTACCCATGACACCTTGTAATGTAAGTTGCACCATACAAGCCTCTATGAGACTGGCCACTCCATGTGAAGCATTTTCTTTCTGTAGTAAGATCAGTGTACATGGATATACAGATTCTGTATGTTTACACTGGTCTGTGACACCATCATTATGTAAAGCTCCAGGACAAAAGGTGGGAACAGTTTCGCCAGAGATACCTGTAATAATATTATATTATCAACCTGTAAACATATACAACGAACACTCAACTCATTTTCGATATGTGCTAATACATAAAATTTAAAGAGTTGTTACGATAGTTAAATAGAAATTTGTGACTTTCTTAGAATGTTTTCCTGTGTTAAGTAACAGCAAAAACCATTCTTCCTTGTAACAGTTTTTAACAAGAGCCTCTTCAAAACTGTTGACAGTTCAAATCATATTTACTCAAGGACACTGGGTAAATCTAAGGTATAATTACAGAAATCAAATGGTTTCGTATAACATGTATAAAAAAATGTTGATTTCATCACCAAACAATTTTTTAAAAAGCCTATGTAACAGTTTAAACACAACTGACACTTGTAAAATGTTATTAAATTATGCTGTTTCCAATTTTGGCTTTCATCTTCCTTTTTTTTGACATTCTACAACTATAAACAGGGCTCACACTACTTCAGAATCATAGGGAGAAGTGACTTCTCTTTTTGAAACTGATAGGGAGAAGTGGTGAGATTTGAAAGAGTAGTGCTCCTTCGCGCGCTGCGCTACAATGTTTTGATTTTACTATAGTATAAAGGGTCATATGTAAATAATGTTCTTTTTATATTGTTCAATTCATATCTGAGTATACAATTAAATTAACAGTTCAAATTCAAAGTTGTTTAAGTTTAGGTTCTTGTGAGAAACTACCAACTAAATATCTAGCACTAAAAAGAATTTTTTTTTATGTCAAAAAGGTAAAGAAGTTATAAAATATGAATTACAATTCAATGAAAATCTTGTTTATCATGTTTATAAAATTCAGTGTTTCTCATCAAAAGATATACAAAGTTAAGCTGGGCCATAATATATTGATATTAGTGGTTAAGCAACTTTAATCAATATTTTGAAACAATCCATATAAATTATATGGAATTATATACATTAATCAATTAGATCTAACCAAAAGTCGGTTAATGCGTGTGGAATGCGTAATTTTTCCTTTTGGGATCAATATTCTTCAGTCAGCTGTTCCATTCATGCGTCCGTAGTTATTATTGTAAAAATACGGATTTCTGTCATAGCTGGTCCGGTTCCGATCCGTAGTTAGATAACGGTTAATGGCGGACGTTGAAAATTTACAAAAATAAACAATGTTTGACAAGCTATTTGGAAAGGAATACGACGTTTTTAATGCAATAAATGGATTAAACATTTACTGGAGGCAACTTTTATCACTTTCAAATGAAGTAACAAACTTATTTTGCTGCCGAAAGTTAGATTGATGTACGCTCTCTGAGTAACAAGTACCGGAAGTGCATGCAGTGATGAAAAGTTGTCTTTTTATTAAATAACCTGCTACACACTGTAAATTCAATGCTTATACCTCGTTTCTTAAGAAAATGAATCGTTTATGTCTGAATTTCTTTAATAATCAATAAAAAATTGAAAATGTCCGATGACGAAAGCGACTGAAGCGAGTATCGTCAACAACAGGGCGACTTGTTTTCGCTTTTGAGGGTCGGGCAAAGCGAAGTGACGGACGGGAAAGCGACTTCTTCGCCCTAGTCGCCTGGTTGCGTGAGCCCTGTATAAAGACCAAATTAAAATCAAAGTTTATAAAACTTACCAAGTAAGTTAGCCTTTTTTGTGTTGAGTTTACTCCTTCTAACTCCTCTGATCTGGTACCCTCGTCTCTGACAGGTGGACAACACTATACCCATACATTTAGGTGGCACATGTGGTGATAGCACTAAGAAAATGTCATTTTTGGTTGTAGCTGTTAATGCCGCTGGTGGCCTATGTATTGTGGCATTTATATCATTGTCTTTAGTGTCTGATAAAGAAGATTTTCTACCTTTCCTACCCTTGGGACTACCACTTCGATATGTATCTTTACGTGTATAGGGTGTTCCTACATCAACACTGCCACCTGGTGGAACACGTCCCCCAAACCATCGACTGAGTTCAGTCTGAACACGAGAGGCATTTCTAGGACAAAACAATAAACACTCATCTCTAGATTCTCCCCCAAATAATGCACAAAGAGAATTAGGATCAGTCCTTCTTGCCAAAACTGGGTCTGAAGGTCCAACAGCATCAAGCCATATAGACCTCGCAAATGTTCCTCGTAAGCTAATAGCTAATACTGGTCCAATACTGTTTAAAACATCTGTTTGTGAATTGTCATTAGATACACTGGGTCCTGAAGCAAGACTAATAAGTTCCGATGTAGGATACAACAGTCGAACACCAGCTAAGTCTAATCCTTCTTGTAGTATCCTGTTACAAATTCCCATCATAGCCCTAGGATCATAGAATATTTTTCTGTAAATTAATGACATTGTCACTTGTGTGTCGTAATTAACCTCCCCAACATTTTGATCACAGAATGCTTCATCACTATCAATTGTCTGCCAGAAGAAACCCACAGAGGAATTGAACACTTTCTGAGCAGCCTGTTGATCTGGGTTTACCTGAATGAATGTTGACAATGGTTTCGTTGTAATGTTCGGTAATGGAGGACGATATACATATGTTGGTTTATCTGTGACACTATCCACCTGTGAACAGGGAACTTCTACTGATACCATGTCGACTAGCCAGGGACACACCGAATGTAATGTGTTTGTAGACAGAAATTTGGTTACAAAGTGTTGAAATGCAGTACAACCTTTCATCTCATCCTTAACCTGTAAAATGAAAACAAATTAATTTTTTTAGTATTTAACATTTTATCAAACTATGAAAAAAGTTAATTTTAATAATACATGTGACTTTTTACCAACTTCAATTAAATGACAGATCAATCTTCTCTTTGGATACTCTTCATCTCTTTAGATTTAGTATGCATTGTATCATGTCTCAATTCATCCATGTTAAAGAGGAGATTTTCTTTTCTTTTTAAATAATTCTTTTTTGTAATAAACAAACAAAAAGGTTCTTTGAAGTCATTTGTTTTTATTGTTGTTTTTTTTTTTACCTTTTTCTCCTGCTGCATTTTGCATTTTTTATACTGTTCAGCTTCTGTGCTTATGATTTTTTTCAATATGTAAGAAAATATGTGAAAAAAGTTTATTCAAATAAAGATATCTAAATTCAAGGAAAAAGATTTATAAATTAGATATAAACTAAGTAACACTTTTTATTGAGTTTAATTCATTTATTTACAACAACACATTTCACATGTTAATTTTTTCTTAGAAGTGTTAATTTCTATTAAGATTTTTGCAGAAGCTGAAAAAACTTACTATTGGAATTAAAATTGATCAATTAAAACAGTTTACTGAAAATTCAGAAATTATTGCGTGCATCTATTATTGCATTTTTTGTAAAATGGACAAAAATGCGATATTAATTATTGCGATTTCAGGAAACGCTGCATACAGATATATGCATCAGATATCAGAATGCGAGTTCTTATTTTTGCGATACTTGCCCAGTCGCAATATTCACATTAATAAAAACCTCACAATAATTTCTGAATTTACAGTAATTGGTATGAATTTACATGAGACCCACTTGAGCAATTTTGTTTTAAACAGATTTGAGTTGTAACAATCTAAATTGAATTGACCACTTTCAAGAACATTAGTTAATAGATGAATTGGTTTTGTTAAAATATTTAAAATAGTATTTTTATTAACTTCCTGGAAAAAAGGACAGGACACTATCTTTTTTCAGTCTTTTTCATTGAAAAATTAAAACAATGAATCCTATATATATGACCTATAGTTGTTAATTCCTATGTCATTTGGTCTCTGGTGGAGAGTTGTCTCATTGGCAATTATACCACATCTTCTTATTTCATATTTATAATCGCTTCACCTAGTAGAAATACTAACTTTAGATTTTTTAGTTTTGAGATTCATCTGTTTATCATAGTCTCTTGGTGCAGCTACAGCTACTTGTAAACACAACTGTTCATCCATACATTCCTGCTGTAAACCAAGTACATAGAATGGTAGTGGGGTGTTATCTTCCTCTTCTTTCTGGAGGAACGTAAAGTCATGTGGTACCAGGGACAATAACCATGACAATAATACTGTGTAACTGGCAGAAAGTCCAACACCTATAAATTAACAAATCAAGTAATGAAACATAAAAAACATTCCTTACACAACCAGTATTTTATTAATGAATAGTTTAATAATAAATTTACTGAGTAAAAAAAATTCAGCAACATAAATTTTAATCATAATTTTTCCAAAGTTGCAGAAATCTAATTTTTAATATTTTTTTGTCAATTAAAAGTTGCACCTTAAATGGATGGACAAAGGTAAAGAACTATACACCCTCCTTTTGGGTATATTAATAGGCACAACTAAAAAATTCTTAAATACTAAGAACTATGACAAACCTGTATCTGCACTTCTGCTTTTACCACGATGCAGAATTATCTCCCCATTACTGGATAAATGTATTGTCAATAACAAACATTTATGGTCCTGTCCCAGTGTCGGTGGCAAAGTTCTTGGTGCAGGCTCGTACGAAGCTTCCTAAAAAACAAAAACTCATAGTAAAATAAGGGCATTGCAAAGCCAACATCTCCTCACAATTCAAATTATTTATAACATACTGTGGATTCATTATTATTCGTTGGATACCAAATTTCTTGGATTTCATTGGTACAGGTGAACCACGAAATTAAATGTTTAACGAATGACAAATTTTGTATAGGCTTGTCTACAGACTTCGGCAAAACTAAGAAATCAAATATCCATGAATATGTAATATTTCCTTAATCTACGAAAATTGGTACCAACGAAAATAAAAGAATCAACAGTAGTCAAGAAGCTATATTATTCTCATCTTTAAAAAAAGGTAAATCATATTACTTTGAAAAAGTTAAGAATTATACCAAATATTGATTGGACAAAAGGAGAGATCACTTCTGAAGACTGTCTGTGCAAGACTTATCTTTTATCCATTGTACCAAATTTGCTAAAATGTAATGCCAAATTGTTTATATCTCTGTTTTGGCAAATTTATTAAATACCCTGATAAAACCAATAGCATTTAAATAATAACTTAAAATATTATTGTTGTACTGTAAAAACTGTTGTTTTTTTTTTAAATAATGTACAGTATTTCTCCTTTTGATTTTCTTTATATAGGTATATCCTTTGTAAATGTATTTTCATTCCATAGGTGGACTTACAAAATCAAACACAACAGGTGGACTTACAATATCAAACACAACAGGTGGACTTACAATATCAAACACAACAGGTGTACCCTCAGCGCTGTCTTGTTTACCACTGACAGCTGCTGACGGACGAAGAGCTTCTAAACGTTTAGATAATCTTATCCTGGCTTGTCTTTCTGTTTCTCTCTGTTCTCTGAGTTTTCTGTAAAAAGTTAAAAGAAGATACATTTAATAACCTTAATTTGAATTTCATACACATTTCTCATAACCATATTTCACCTTAAAATTTAACAAGGCTCATCTTTTAAACTTTTTATTAAACGCCATTATGCAAACTAATGCCTTTTCCTTAAAACTTTATAATTATTTGTTTTTACACTTATCTACACAGATTGCTAGCTAATAATGTTATATACAGGAGGTATTTCTGAGAGAGCACCATATTAACAGGTCATAAATTTAATCAAGAAAGCAAACTTCAAGCATACCCAAATATCCACATTATGAAATTCTCGTTGTTACTTTATTTCACACATATTTCATTTAGCTCTCAAGATTAAATATACTTGTATAAACACTTATTACTCCTCATAACAAAATCTACCTAGCCTCTTCTATTTTCCTCTGTTTCTCTTTTTCCTCCTGTTCAGCCCTAAGTCTAGCCTCAATATCTTCTTCTGATAATTGTACTGTTTCTATTACTGTCTGTGGTTGTGTCCTTACACGACTATCTATCACATGGTCAAGGTTCAAAACTCTCTGTGGCTTCTTTACAGGTCTATTGAAATAAACATTGGATTATTTAATGCAATCACGATATTATTATGAAATTTTTTTAATAGTTAATCAGTCTATTAGGTCTATAAAAATAATTCAATTATCCTTGCATCTTTAGTACATATCTTAAGATCTGATGTGTAAGGTGCAGGCACTTGTTAATACAAATATATATATATATATGTTTTTAATTCACAGACATGACAGATGCAGCGTTATTGAAATCTAGCACAGAATTCCACTCGAACCAGTTCTAGGGGTCATCTTGAAGTTGCAGTGATCATGAAGTGTGAACCTATGCTCGGTGCTGAAGGCCTCACTGTGATTTTGAAATGAATAATAGCAATTAAAGCAAAGTTCCTAATGGTTTAAGTATTTGTGTTATAACTCAATACACCCTTCTTTTTCAATTACAGTCGAACCTTGTTATGTCGAAGTTGACGGGACCTGACCAAAGTATTCAACTTATCCGAGGTTCCACTCATGTGAGGTCGAGTGTGTCGTTATAAATTTGGAAAGCATGAAATACAGTATAAGATTTGTGTAAACTAGATACTTTAAACATTGTGCCAATTTTGATATGACACTTTATGATTATATCCGATTTGAATTTTTATCATTAGGTCTGCGTCTTTCGAAAATTTTTACCTTCGACTTCGAGGTCAATTTACATTAATTTTACATCGACGGCACTATAAAATTTACTCTACTTAACCGAGTATTCGAATCAACCGAGTTCGACTCATCAGAGGTAATTATGCATTGATCAAACAGGAATTTTACTGGGATATAGAAATTACTTCGACTCATCTGAATTTTCAACACAACCAAGTTTGACACAACGAGGTTCGACTGTATGTTTATATATCGCTAAATTGATCAGAGTTTCTTATATAACCAGGACATAAAAACAATCTTTAACATACCCATGAGGTTTTGGCTTGCTTGGTAAAGCCTCTGCGTGTAGACCTTTAGATTTTAATGACTCTTTCATCTTCTGTCTCTGTTTCTGCCATGTATCTACTTCATCGTCTGAATCATCACTGGAGTCCCTGTGGAAATAAATATCCAAATAAGACTTGTATGACCCACTTGTATTGTTTTTATCAAATAGAAGTAATAAACCTAATTAAATTCTGTTTCAATTTTTTTGGGGGCTTGTCTGCCACAGAACGCTTATAACATAAGGATTATGCTGTAATTTATATACAATGTAAATGATTTCACTTAAATATCAGCAGATTAATCATTAATATAGAAAAAATATCCAAATTACAAATACACAATAATTTCTCGTTAGAAAACAAAGCAAAAATGTATTGGCCAGCAAAAAAATGTTTGGAACTAATTACTTATAAAATGTCATTATGAAAGAAGTTTCATAGTCAAGCCAAACTTTTATAAACCAGTGTTCCTTAAGGATGTACACCTCTGAGGAGCCAAAAATTTCTAGAATTAAACTATTTTTCTTAACTTGATAAGTAAATTTTGGGTTTATATGACTGTAAGAAATTGATGAAGAAAAAATCATATGGTTGTGCACTTCTTTATTTTCTACGGCCATTTGAAAGTACCCCATTTTTAAATGATTTTCCCATTTTTCATTGATTTTTACCCATTTCTGGGCTATTATCATGAAAAAAATCACAATTTCACAATTAATCTTTTTTTCATACTTTCAGTAAAGATGAAGTAGAACAATCTGAATAAATTTAATTTAAAAAACTATAGGTTGGAAAAATTTGTTGCTTTTTCATGTCAAATTGACCATGACGTAAATTTTGTAAATTTGGGATTTTTCTCTTTAGAACAAAAAGCATATTATTTCAATTCTTTTTTTGTTATAAATGATTGAAAAAATACATATCTAAGAATTTTGAAAAGAAAAATTGATATGGGATGTACATATATTTGGTAAAATCATTTCTTTGTACCCCTCACCCATTTTTTCAACATTCTGGTTGTTGACATTGACCGGATTGGTACTTATTGTAAGTACACAATTTGTTCACAGAGTTTAGTTTGATTATATTACTTTTTAAATTCATTGATATTTTCCACTTGTAACACGTTTTGGAAATACTTCCCGAAAAAGATTTAACCAAGACTGAAACATCAGAAGAATTCATCCTTAAACTAAAGTAGGTGTCCAAATTTTCGCTATTTCACAAAACAATCAACCACTTGAATTGGATGGCAAGAATAATTTTTATTACACTGCACCTACTTCATACTAACAACCTTTCACAGAAGCAATGAGCTAAAATATTTCACCAATTGATCAGTTTGTAGAGGTGAAAACAAACTGCAATTTGGTAAAATATTTCAGCAAATAGGTATTGAGAATGGACAAAGCCTTTCCAATATGCATAGTCAAGAGGGAAAAACAGTATAAATACCTGTCACCAGATACGTGTAGTATTCTTTGTACTCTTTCTATACTTTGTTGTTGTTCCTGTCTCGTCTTCTCAAAATCTCTCAGATCAATAAATACTGTACTGGACTTAGGTGGTTCTTTCTTTGCAACTATAATATACATAACAAACTAGAACTGTGAGTAAACACACAATAGGATAGCCCCTGCCGTGTATTTCTATTGGCATATTAAATTTAGGAAATTTGGTTATCTCCCCTTTAACAATGTTATATGTTGGACCAGGATAATATTTCTTCATGTATATCCTCAAGTATTAATTATTCTACAACTGTGTAAAGTTTCATCATAATCTGTCTAGTGTTTAGGAGGAGTTTCTCCTACAACGCACGTGGGCAGACAATGGAGGGATGGACAAGGTGTTATCTATACTCCTCAAAATCTTTGTTCGCTGGGAATATAATGAGAAATTCTGATTAGGTCCAATATTCTATTTGTACAGGATTTGTCCACAATGTTTTTTTTCTATCATTGCCTGAATTTCCTTGCAGTGAAGATTTTTAGTACTTCAAAGACTTGAATATAGTTTTTAAAGGGTTTAACTATTAGTTTTATATCTAAAATTTGATTTGTTGGTTTTATTGTGTAATTATGTAGTTTTGGGTATTTATTTTATATTACATATGGTGTGTTATTAAGTAGGAGTTAAGTTATTGTATGTTTGAATATTTCTAAAATTTATCTGGTGTTTTGACTAGTTTTTAAGTTTTTGTGTAAGTACTGAATGACTAAGTGGGTAGTTTAAGATACATGTTTAACTATCTTTAAGTGTATTATAAAATTACCTGGTGGTTTTGTGGTTGGTTTAACAGTTGGTGTAATAATTCTAACAGGCATATCATTCGTGTTGGTACCACAACTAGATGTCTGCTTTTTCTCTGGCTCTATTGATTAAAAACAACATTAAACATCTAATTCAATAATTCATGCTCCACGCTTTTGTTTACAAATAACTCTTTTAATCTTGGTATATATTTTTAAGCTGAAATGCAATCTATTCTATAGAAAGAAAATGTCTAATATGGGCATAATGCATCTTCCGATTTTTGTTTTATTTCATAGAGCAAATCTTTCCAAAAAAAAAAAGAAGATTTAAGTGCTATATGGGAAAAAAATATAGAGCACTTTTAAGATACATTTAGCTAAGTGTTAATTTTATTACAGACTCGAGTCAACTAAAAGCTCCATGAAGCCTACAGTGTCCACCTGGTATTTTTGCAATAATTTGATACAATGCAATAGTAGTTCAGTGGTTGTCGTTGGTTCATGTCTGTCATATTTGTTATTTGTTAATTGTTTTGTTATAAATTAGGCCGTCAGTTTTCTCAATTGAATTGTTTCACATATTTCATGTTGGGGCCTTTTATAGCCGACTATACGGTATATTTTTTTCTCATTGTTGAAGGCCGTACGGTTGCCCATAATTGCTTACATCCACTTTTTTTGAACTTTGGTGTATAGTTGTCTCATTGGCAATCATACCTCATCTCCTTATTTTTATAATAAAAATATTTGTGTTGAATGGAAATGTGCTTTAAACATATATTATACATGCCTGGCTGTGATTGAGGAATAGGTTTCCACTTATTAATGACTGGAGGAACCTCTTCTATAATCTGTTGTTGTTTAACCCCAGTCATAGGACAGACATCAGTCAAATCTTCTCCAGATACTCTGGTGGATATTAGTGCTAATCTTTGTATCAATGACAAATTCTGATTTTGTTCTGTTAGAAATATACATATACAATTCAAAAACTCTGCTTTCGAAGTCATAATCACATTATTTTTTATAAACGATAAAGTCAATGTACAAACACATGTAAACTTAAGAGAATACATTATGGTATGCTTTATACGATTCTAAAAAACTTCTTTTATTTACAACTTTATATTTTTTTCAGACAGCTGGACTGTTCAAGTTACTTTACCAGCATATTAAGTTCTGTATTTTTTTTATGATAATCTAAAACAAAACATGCTTTACCATTTTGTTTGCTCCTGTTTCCTAAATTTGTGTGTGAATTTGTTTTCTGTATAAAGTATCTTTTAAGGTTTTATAAACCCACAAATGAATTTTGTATGCTATTTTCAAGTTACATCAGTACGAATATTCTTAATTCCATACAATTTTAAAAACTCATCAGTTTAAATTAATTACCATTATTGTCTATTTGATTTCCTTCCCCTGCAGCATACAAAGCCTCTAATCTTTGCTGATTTGATCTGTTGATTGGAGGGGCAAACTGATTATCTTCATTTAACTGGTTCAATAATGTATCTGAAATAAACATCTATCTTTATAATATATATCTGAAATAATTCATAGAGAAATCATAAATGTGTCTGTCAAAATTTATAAGGAAATCATTATTAAAAAAGTATCTAAAAAAGTTGATAAAGAACAATTTTTAGTAAGATATCCAGTAATACAATTCACAATTGTTTCTTTCTTATAAAATCAATTACATCTTTTAATCTGCTTGATAATCACATATTTTGGGAAAAGGAATTGTACTTAAGATTCCTATCTGTGTTAAACATAACGTATATAATCATGATACTAGAATGTTTCAGAATTGAAAAAAAAAAACCCTAAAAAACTTGCTTTTGAAAGTTTAAAAATGTTGTTTACTATTAAATTTTAAATATTGAATATCACCTTCAATTCAGATCAAAATAAGATAATTGGACATGTTGAAGAGCCCAAAAAAACTTATAATTTTAAGGTAACAAGAATGTGTCCATAGCACACGGATGCCCCACTCGCACTATCATTTTCTATGTTCAGTGGACCGTGAAATTGGGGTCAAAACTCTAATTTGGCATTAAAATTAGAACGATCATATCATAGGGAACATGTGTACTAAGTTTCAAGTTGATTGGACTTCAAATTCATCAAAAACTACCTTGACCAAAAACTTTAACCTGAAGTGGGACAGACAGACAGACGAATGGACGGACGGACGGACTAATGAACGGACGCACAGACCGAAAAACATAATGCCCCTAGGTGGGGCATAAAAATGATATGATACCATGCATACTTGAAACAGTTTTTAAAGATTTACTTTTACGTAGGTACCAGACAGAGTTTGTAACTACCTATATTAGAAGGATCAAATCCTGGAGGTACTAATGTAGGAGCTCTAGGTGACAGTATGCTATGAGCTAGTTCTCTCTCTTCATCTCGTCGTACTTCCTTCCTCAACATACTATTCATTCTCTTATCCCCTACATCTATAGCTTCCCATGTAGAACTTTTCTTTTTCTCTGTCTCAGCTGTTGATTCTCTTTCATGTTTTTCATATGAATCCTGCATCTGATTATTCAGCAGTTCGTTTTCCATATTTTTCAAAGCTTCATTTATATTTAAACCCTCCCCATCATCAGGACCACAGCCTACATCATGTAAGGTGACCTCTTGTTTACCAGGGGAAGTAACTTCAGGACGATTCTCAGCTTCCATAACTATTTCAGTCCAGCTTGAAACTGTTTTAGTTGGAACTGGTTTAGGTGAGGATTTCATCACTGCACCTTGTTGGAGCTGAAAAGCTAGATCATTGTCATATATATCTGCTAAATCAGCAGCTTCAAAAGAGACACCACTTAAAGAAATAACATCTGGATCTTCAAGGCTTGTATCCATATCTTTGTCATCGTCAAATATCGACGATTTTAAATTTCTGTGAAAAATGATTGGTTCTTCATTATCAGAACTCACCTGTAAAAAGCAGATAAGATATTACAAAAAAACAATGCATAAATTAGTTTTCACTTAACATACTTAATACTGTTATGTATTAATTATCAAGATTTTGTTTGTCATAGTGGGTTATCATTTTCATGTTTCACAATTCTTTTATCATGTTTATATTGTGACATACCTAGTGTATTTATTACTTTTATTATACAGTTTTTCAAGGGTATTTACAGTTTCACTCTTTGAATCACTATGAAAATATCAAACAAAAAACAAATAAGTAAATTTGTATAAAACTTGAATTCATACTTTTGCAGCCAGTAAAAAGACATGAATTTCTTTAAAATATTTCCTCAGATACTTTTTACTGTTTTTATATGTAGCTTATAAAAAATCCTATGTTTTTTTTTATTTTAAAGTTAGATGGCACATCTGAAAGTAAAATTGGGGCAGTATTTTGTTTTTAGTGTTTAAAATACATTATCAAAATGTTAATAAGAGCTGTTCAATTAAAACACACATGGTACCCAGGGAAGGATCTTTCAGATTGGGTAACCACCTATAGATTTTCACATGCATTTTCTTTTTACAAGGACACCAACCAAGTTAGTTGGTCAGTGGAACAACAATAAATAAAAAATTCAATTTTGTGTTATTCCCATGAGAAAAAGTTCTTACATCTGATAGGTCAAAATCAATGGACGGTAGATTTTTCTCCACTTCGGCAAAGATGTCATCTAACTTAGGTTTGAGTTGTGACTGTCCTAGAAGTGACGGCATCCTGACATCACTGTCACCTCCGCCATCATCACTTAACTCCATGATTGTATTACTTATTGATCAATCTGGAAAAAAGACAAATAATCAGCTATATTGGTAAAACATGCTATGAAAATTTAACTCAATTGAGGTTCAATTTCTATTCATACAATTCATACAATAATGAAATTAAATAGTAACACCATAAATGATAATTAAAAACATGAAAAAGAACTACTTATGTCCTTTTTTTTAAAAATCAAATCCGAAAGGAACAGATACCTTGCTTATCATTTTCTATAAGTATAATGAGTCTGTGGGGGGAAATTTCCAATAATTTAGATGAATTTCATATTCCTTAATGTCCATTTTGTGCCCTTATTTTTTCGATGGATTATTTCTATAAGAAATGAAACCATGGTTCAAAGTTCATTCTATGCCCATATATATGAATAAACAATGAATAACTTAAACGAAAACTGTTCGCAAAGAATGATAAATACAACCTGCTTAGACTTTTTTGTTAGATCCAAATACCTATTTTATGAAATGATTTTTCTCAGTATTAAAAGGCATTTCAATTTAGATTTCTATTATAATTTATAATATCAGGATGGCCTACCGATATGGGAATCTTAATGTCTATTTCTTACAATCTACACAGTTTGAGGGATAATAGCACTCAATGTATTCTACAATTTATCTGTCCCTGTTGGACTGTTCTGTATGAAATTCTTACAAACATGGCATGCAAAACATTTTAATGTTAAATTTCTTCAAATCACAGATATGTAATTGGCTAGGAACAACCTTTCTATATATGTTCACTTTGGAATTTGGCCAGATATCTGAATTAAACATTATGGGGTAGGTATGATATGTTGTGGGCTTAGGAGTGAAAACATAAAACTTTTAGTATCTGCAGTACAAATGTACTAATAATTGCATGAATTATTAACGTTCCTCACCAATCAAAATTACATCGCATTCTAATCAGTATTGCTTACCTTGCATTAAATTAATTGTGGTCCCCCTTCAATGTATATATGTTATGTGAGCTATCTTATTTTGCAAATGACCTATGTATTTGCACATATATATAATGTACTAGATTTTGACAGGTTCCACTGGAAGTGTGCCAGGTAAACTTTTAACATATGTTAAGGTTTAAAAAGTCAAAAAAACAACATATTGATTTTGAATAAATGATATACCAATTTGATTTAATCCAAAGTTATCCTTATCTCTGGATAATTTGATATAAAAAGAAAAAGCCATAATTAAACATGGAGTCTTGGGATGGTGAAAAGTTTATTAACATTTTCAATTGCACACTGTATTAAATATATCTATCTAACTTTTTAACTGGAAAGTTAAATTTCAACATCATGATACATGCTTGCTAAACTTTTAAAACTGAATAGTGCTACATCATGTACATTCTATCAGAAACAGCATATCATTACTTAACTAGAGAATGAGATACTGCGAGTAAACTTTGAAAGCTCACAAAATTATACCACTGCCCCTTATTTGCTATGGGAAACCTGAGTCTATGATTTGCTATAGGAAACACCAAAAATTATTTGGACATGTTTGACAAAAATAGAAAATAGAAGGTGCACAACAATGTAATTATATGCAGGGGTCACCACACCAGGCGAAGTGAGCGACATAGTCACACTAGGACTCCTCACTCGCTCTAGAGAAGCTCCAGGCAGAAGTTTATGTTGTCCTTGATTTTCAGTAAAATTCCCCAATGTCGCCTCCTGATTTTTGAAAAATTCTTGATCCAAACGTAAACGACCCGATAGTTGACGATATACAAAACATGTTATCCCTGAATTCAGAACTGATTTGTTTGCGGTATAATACTCCAACATTAAAATTGCTTGACAGGATGTACTATGAGCAAGAAACAAGAAAAAAACTTGATTTTGCGATGTTTGTTTATTGTCCACCATCATTGTTATTGAAATTGTAGAGGGCGCCCTTTTATCTTTTCAAAACTCTTATCATTTACCTAATCCGTATTAATATGCAATTTTAATTTTTATTATCTTATATTTACTGATAGATATCAAAAGTTTTCCCTGAAGTCTCCCTGTTGGGGCATCACTTCTCCCAGAAGTCTCCCTGTTGGGTCTTCACTTCTCCCTGTTTGGCTGCCAGGGAGAAGTCACTTCTCCCTATAATTCTGAAGTGTGGTGACCCCTGTATATGGTTAAGATTGTAAGAAAGTTTCAACAAATTGTACTAAAGGGGCTTAGGGTCAGTTGCTGATACAAAATGGGTACCCACTAAATAAAACATTGGCAAAGTACATCATGTATATGATTAGCTAAGGAAAATCAAACATGATTTGGACCAAACATAATGGCTTCACATGGTTAAGATTGTGAAAAAGTTTCAATAAATTGTAATATAGGGTTTAATAGGAGGATTTGTTGATAAAAATGGATAACCCCAAATACGTACAGCAATGGCAAATTCCATGGTTTGATAAGGGAAACTCCCTAAAAAAAAACCACATGCAGTGCAGAGGCCTGGAACTTTCAAAAACTGTAAATCCAGGGAAATATAACCAATAAATGTTTATTATTCAAATAAAATTATATGCTTCAGGAATGACTTCTTCTGGTGGCAGGTCCAAGTGAAGCTAAATATCAGAAAAAGGAAAATCCAAATTTATGTTTGAAATGGTTTTCTTTAGACAGTTTCCCTCAGACCTTAGGGGCAAGCCCATGGATATGTTCACTAGGATACACTCTCTATGCTGGCTACATTAAGCTGTGCCTTTCAGCATCCTTACATGTAGGTCATGGCAGTCAAAAAAAAAGGAGGAAAAATTGTCAAAATTTTGTGTTTTTTTGCACCAGGTGGTGGCCAATTTTGGGCTAGCAAATAACAATGATAAATCAAGGGTACTCAAATTTCACAGATCATACTATAGAACTATTGACAAGTCAATTTTTTTTCAAACTGGAAATAAGCTTTTAATAGAAATTTAGAAAAAAAATATATTTTATTGGAACAAGCAAACAAATACCATGAGAGGTACATTTTTTGTTTTTTGTCATGTCATTGTAAGTTTGTTTTCGACTTTTATGAGTTTGAAAGTAACTTTGGTATCTTTCGCCTCTCTTGTACATATTCACATAAGTACAACTGCATAGACAGTATATGAATGTGGAACTTCAAAATATGTACAATATGCCTATTTTTAAACATTAAGTGACAATTTGATCATTTAAGTAAGAATCGGTCTACCTCGCAAAATCTTGTTAGGCACTACAGCAATGGGCAGTATACTATCCATATCTGTATATATATATATAGGAATCGTTCAGTATACAGACATGCATAGTTTACTGCACATTGCCGGTATAAATTTAACACACAAATTGTAAATCACCAACGTAAATTAATAATTTAATACATTAAATAATAAAATGCTCCGCAGGGCGCAGCTTGATACGACCGCAGAGGTCGAACCCTGAACAGTTGGGGCAAGTATGGACACAACATTCAAGCTTGATACAGCTCTGAATTTGGATTGTGATTAAATATTTGACACAGCATAGGTTTCTGACACAGAATGAATGTGGTCTAAGAACTTAAAAATTTTAAATTGGACATTCACCTATTATGGTCCAATATCCAAAATCTAAATACATGGTTAGATTCAGCATATCAAAGAACCCCAAGAATTCAATTTTTGATGAAATCAAACAAAGTTTAATTTTGGACCCTTTTGACCTCAATGTGGACAAAGTTGATAACGGGGCCCAAAAATCTAAATACATGGTTAGATTCAGCATATCAAAGAACCCCATATATTCAATTTTTGTTGAAATCAAACAAAGTTTAATTTTGGACCCCGATTTGGACCAACTTGAAATCTGGGCCCATAATCAAAAATCTAAATACATGTTTAGATTCAGCATATCAAAGAACACTAAAAATTCAATTTTTGTTAAAATCAAACTAAGTTTAATTTTGGACCCTTTGGACCTTAATGTAGACCAATTTGAAAACGGAACCAAAAATTAAGAATCTAAATACACGGTTAGATTCGGCAAATCAAAGAACCCCAATAATTCAATTTTTGATGAAATCAAACAAAGTTAAATTTTGGACCCTTTGGACCTCAATGTGGACCAATTTAAAAATAGGGCCCAAAATCCAAAAACTTAATACACGGTTATATTCAGCATATTAAAGAACCCCAAGAATTCAAGAATAAAACCCCATTGAAATTGATCAAGAAATAAGCAATTTATAAGAAGTATCTTCTTTTGCACAATACTGTGCAATTGAATATTTCTTGCTATTGCGCAATACTGTACAATTGACAATTTCTTGCTATTGCGCAATATTGTGCTATTGGATATTTCTTGCTATTGCGCAATACTGTGCAATTGAAGATTTCTTGCTATTGCGCAATACTGTGCAATTGAAGATTTCTTGCTATTGTGCAATACTGTGCAATTGAAAATTTCTTGCTATTGCACAATACTTATTATATAAAAATTTACACATCCTGTTTGGTGTGTATCTCCTACCATATCATTATTATTTGCTTTTAAATATAAATCAGAAATAACCAACTTAAAATGGAAAATTTTAAAAGAAAAAAAAAGGAAAAAAAGAAAAAAAAAGAAAAAAAAAAAAATCCCCCCCCCAAATATTTTGAACCCCCTTATGATTCATCACCCCCAAACTCAATCCCAGCCTTCCCTTTGTGGTATGGTACCTTGCAGTACAATTTCAGAGAGATCCATACACTTGAACACAAGTTATTGTCTTGAAACTAGAAAAATGCTTATTTTTGGCCCCTTTTTGGCCCCCAATTCCTAAACGTTTCAGGCAATTACCCCCGAACTCAATTCCAGCTTTCCCTTTGTGATATGAAACCTTGTAGTACAATTTCAGAAATATCCAAACACTTACACACAAGTTATTGTCATGAAACTAGAAAAATGCTGGTTTTTTTGCCCCTTTTTTGGCCCCTAATTCCTAAAATTTTGAGGCAATTACCCCCCAAAATCAATTACAGCCTTCCCTTTGTGATATGGAACCTTGT